GATACAATGACCTTGTCAGCACATACAACCTATCATTGAGTCAAATGCTGACTGACGTTTTTCATACTAATTGTTAGGCCATTATTTACACACTGAACTGTCGACGGATTTCTCTCTTATTACCCGATCATGACCAGGTGCACACGGCGGGTGTGACCGGTCGGCAGGGGATCGTCACTCCTCCATGGCACCTGATCCCACCTCTAAATTTTGAGGTCCGTGTTTGCTCTGCTTCAAATTTGTATTGTTTCATTGAACTTTCGAGATTGAATACTGTTCATTATTTTCATATTTCGTTTTGGCGATCGTACAACTAAAAAAAAATGATAAACATGCGATCGTGCAATTTGAAATTCATTAAATACATTTCATTAAATATAGTGAGAGATTACCAATTTACAGGGGCTGAAAGTCTGTCGAAACAGAACAGGACACCGAACATTTGATTTTTAAGAAGGGGGGGGGGGGGAGGATTTGACAGATTTTCTAATCTTCTGCTTGAATAGTGTCCACATTTAAAGACAACGAAATCAAAAATCCAGAACTCTTGCTTTTAATTGTCTATTGGCACTTAATTAAAATAATCAGATACTTGCAAGGACCGGATTATAGGATTCTAGAAAAACAGGTTTTATTGTCTATGGAATGGCTGTTCAATCACAGGAGCTGGTATACCTATAAATTTTATCGAAATTTTCAGTAAATAAAAAAAATACGTAATACACTATATTATAAAAATAACAATTACAGGCGTTGGCATACCTATCAATTTAGCCAACATTACAAATGCTATCATTAAAGCCAAAGTTACAAGTGTTATCATTTTAGAATTTTTTATTTACTGAAAAGTGTTATTATTATAGTATTCATTTTTTTTTTATTTACGGGATACTGAAAATTTCGGGAAAGATGATAGGTAGGTGTCTTTTTTGACATATTTTATTTCTTTCTAACGAAAGTCATCATGTTAGAGATTTTATTTAAGAAATAAAATATTTCAGAAAGGACATACATGTATGCCAACTCTTGTGGTTCAATTATTAATACCTTACTCTATTAAACTCAATTCGATTCAAACTTTTTTCCCCCATTTTTTTTTTCAAACATAACCTTTTACTGTTGAAATGTTCATTTAAAGGTTGGTCCCATTTCTTTGTTGCAGTATAGTCAAATCGGGATAATCTGGTACTTTCTGGACACAATTTGTTTGTGAAAGAAGTTGAAACCTAACTCCACCCCCCCCCCCCAAAAAAAAAAACACACACACACACACACACACATTCTTGTTATAGGATTTTCGAGTTTGGACAATTGTCATTTTTTTATTTTGCTTGTCAAACTTTTTAATGTAATTTGTCATCCCCCCTTAACTTTTCAAAAACGATACTACATGCCTGCAGATGAATTCTATTCTGTTGAAATAAATTATATAACACAACTGTTATAACTTTGAGGTAAAATTCCTACTTTACATTTTGCAAGCCCTCCAGTTCATTTTCTATAGTATCTCCTTGTTTAACATAGATAAGTTTAATTTTTATTTTCTTATATTCATGTAGGTCAATTTTAAGAGTTAAAAACGATATATCACAATGACTGACTGCCTTATTTGAATGTAATAATATACAAGTTTGACTTTCCAGAAAGCCATAAATGTCATCTCTTTGTCTTCATGAATGTCACAGAATAAACAGTGGAATGTTACATTATTTTTTCAGCTATTACATGCAGTAGTATCGCTTTTGAAAAAAAGGGGGGGGGGGAAATCGACGACTTATCTGAACAATCTTTGACAAGGGGGAAAAGGGGCTGTCCAAACTCCACATTTTCATTTCTTGAAAGGGAGGATTAAAACTTTTCCAACAAACATATTTTATATTATAGTACATTCCCATGGGATGATTTGACGTACCATACTGCAACAAAAGATGGAAGATGGGGCAAGGACGCGCCTTTGAATGAATATTTTTAATGTTTGGGAAAAACATGGAAGGGGGACGACCCTCCTGTTGCTACATGCCTATATTATTTTACTTGTTGTAAATATGCTTTATTCATTTTGAATATTTTTTGTACAATGTCTGTAAAAAAAATCTAACCACTGAGAAATATTCGTAAAAATTAGATATAAAACAATTGTTCCGTATGAAGATGGATAAAACCTTAGCGTTTCTTTTGACTTTAGTTTGTAGTTGCCTACTACAACAGCAAAGCAGTTTTAAAGCGATGACAAATATACATCGAAATAACACTTTCTAAATATACTTTACTCTGATTTGTGCTTTTTTTATTTCATGCTTATTACGATCGCTTTATAAACGATACATGTCGTTGACGATCGCCTCGCAGTTGTCAATATTTCCAGTTAAAAGTTGTTTTGTTGCTAATGAATGCAGTTTTAATTTTAAATTTTAAAAATGTTTAGTTCACACCTCCAAGAATTCATAGAAATACTGTAGTAGATAATAATAATAACAGTTTTAAACTATTTCAAAGCATCGAAATTCGATGTTTGGAGCATCGTCGATTTGATCGGTAACATTTGCACAGAAAATATTGAACAAATTTATTCTAGGTGAATACTAAACTGTACATATTAACCCTATAATAAAATCTTTCCTAGTTTTATTTATAGCTGGTTATACTCCAGCACATAGCTTTCCTAGATTTATTTACAGCTGGTTATACTCCAGCACATAGCTTTCCTAGATTTATTTACAGCTGGTTATACTCCAGCACATAGCTTTCCTAGTTTTATTTATGGGTGGTTATACTCCAGCACATAGCTTTCCTAGTTTAATTTATAGCTGGTTATACTCCAGCACATAGCTTTCCTAGTTTTATTTATAGCTGGTTATACTCCAGCACATAGCTTTCCTAGTTTTATTTATGGCTGGTTATACTCCAGCACATATCTTTCCTAGTTTAATTTATAGCTGGTTCTTCTCCAGCACATAGCTTTCCTAGTTTAATTTATGGCTGGTTATACTCCAGCACATAGCTTTCCTAGTTTTATTTATGGCTGGTTATTCTCCAGCACATAGCTTTCCTAGTTTTATTTATGGCTAGTTATACTCCAGCACATAGCTTTCCTAGTTTTATTTATAGCTGGTTATACTCCAGCACATACAAAACTGCTTAACTTACTCCCTACGATACTTTCTTCTTCAAGGATTTTATCAGTTTTGCCGATCGCGCAAAAATTTTCAACCGATCAGCTGGGCCGACATGTTTTGATGACCGTAAACTAAATTACGGTCATCGGCTTTCCTACAGTGAAGATAAGGCTAAGAGTTAAGTTTCATGACTGATAAGGCAAGCTTTATCGTGTGTACCGGCCATTACATAAAACCTTTATAAACACTCTGAAAATCCCAGGGGGGTTGGATACACCCATTCCCCCTCTAGATCTGCGCGTATAAAGTGCAAAAATTAAGTAAAACTTATCAAGCTAAATCTCAACTCTACCTCACGCATTTAATAGCATTGAAATAAAAGAATCAAAGTGGAATTGGAATTAATCAGTCATGTTAACCTTTACAACCTTGTCATTTCTCAGGTAACTTTGAACCTTGAGCATGTTGTGTGATATTTCTCAGGTAACTATATACAAAACCTGTCACGTGACAAGTTACCAGGTAGAATAAAGCCAAACCGAAAGTTGTATAAAAATGAAGTTGAAACACTCCAAGAAGAACACGTAAAAGTAGCTGGACCATGTACGTATTTTACCTATGTAACTGTTTAAGGAATTTTTTTTTACTCTATTTTCTCTTGTAACAAAATCGGTGTTGAGTGTCCTATATTCCTCTCTTGTACCATAAATTCTGATAATACTTTGATGTTATATTTACCAGAAGAACAATTTTGTTTTAATTGACATCAAGCCATAGTTTGACGAAACCTTGGTTGAATGAGGTCAACATTTTTTCAATTTCAAGAATTCTAGAATTCGTCTGACTCTGTCGATATCCGTGCCTTGTTGCGTATTTTATTTTTGTTTGTTATATAGTTTGGTTTGGTTTTTAGTTTTGTTTTTGTTCCTCTGCTATCCTTAATGGTACGTTCTATAGTTGACCACTTTTACGTCTCTAATATATGGGTTTACATCAGAAGACTCTGGTTTTTAGTTTCGATGCCAAACTTTCATTAAAATGTCAGAAATTTGACCATCACTTGTTTTCACGCCGTCGATCAGCGCATTGAAATTTGCAATATCGATGTTTTCCTTTGAAGAAAAAAAGAAAAATTAAAAAAAAAAATTGATAATGAAATAAAAAAAATAGATAGGAAAGAAGTCAAGGAAATCAATCTTTAATTATCAATAAGGGTTTCCATTTGACGGCATCAATGCACAGACTCATGGCCCCTGACATACGAACCGTAATAATAAAGTCATTGTTTTAAAAACTTTTTCAGTGATGTAGTGTTACATGGGGGGGGGGGGCAGTGGGCCTCGCCTTTCACTTTTTTTCCAAACATTATACTTTTTACTATAAAAAATGTTCATTGAAAGGCTGGTTGCCAGCCCTTTTTGTTGCAATATAGTGAAATCAGTTAATGTAGTAATGTGTGTATAAGATTTGGTTATGAAAAAAAGGTGGAACACCCCCCCCCCCCAAACACACACGAAATAGAATTAAGGATTTTGGAGTTTGGACAATTTTTTTTTCTTTTTTGGGGGGTTGAGTTGGTGAGTTGAAATTTTTTCTACCCTCTTTCAAAAACGATACTACGTGTCCGTTTTACGTAAATTTTGTGTTTGAAGAACGTCAATTTATACTTGTTCTTACTGGCTGCTTCTGCCTTAAAAAAACCCCGAAAGTTTTGAACACTCAAAAACTCTTGGTCAAATTGATTAGATAAAAAAAATAACAAGGGGAAAAAGACCATTATCATGATTCCTGCCAAAACAAATTCTCACTTTATCCGACGAGTGCATATGCAAGATTAGAACTTTTTTTTTAAATGCTTTATGTTGTTTTGTTTTGCAGATAGGAATGGCCACTGACACTACCCAATCACAGGAACACATAACCTGTGACCTTTGTGTCAAACCTGTCCAGCAATTCTGTAACAGCTGCCAAGTCGGTCTGTGTGAAGACTGCATCAACAAACATGTCAAGAGCCTAAAGTCCATGAAGCATGACATTGTTCCTTTCACAAAGCGTACAGTACAGCTTGTGTTCCCTCAGTGTACACCTCATTCCCACCAGAGATGTGAGGTCTACTGTCAACAGTGTGATGTCCCAGTCTGCATCAAATGTCTCACTGGGCAACATCAAGGTCATGACAAAGTGGACATGGCAGATATCATAGCTACAAAGAGAGAAAAAATTAAAAGAGAAACAGAAGAAATTGTGGCCATTATTTCAAAAAACACAGAGCAGGACAAAGGCAACGAAAACAAAATTTCCTAATCCATGGCCCATTATGCAGATTTACAGAAACAGACCAATGATCAAAGAAATCAATGGCACCTAGAGGTGGACAACATCTTTAACAAAATGGAATCACTGATCTTCTCACTCAGACATCATCATATTACAACTCTAAAATCATGTCAGTCCAAACTCAGAAGTCAGAATTCCAGTATGATCCAAACTGTTCAGGACAACAAAGAAATTCTGAAGTCCAACAAAGTGTCTGATGTCAACAACTACAAATCCAAACTGAAGGAATACAGAATCATTCCACAAATACCTGATTTATCATTGCCCTCTCTTCAAACAAACACAGTCCAAGGGAGAGAATTCAGCATAGAACTAGGAGAATACAAGGCTACACTGACACAGACATCACTATCCAGTCTGACAGATGAGGTCTCCTTTTTATCTGTTAAGGAATTATTAGAAGAAGCCAAAGTGATTGCAAACATTCCAACTAATGTTAAAAACTTATCTAAAGTAGCCTGTGTAGGATCAGATAAAGCTTGGGTTAGTGGAGAAGACAAAATGATAGCCTGTGTGGACATACATGGAGCTGTACAAGACACTGCCACCACATGTGAAACATCCGCTAATGACATCACAGTGACCAGACAGGGAGAACTGATATACAGTGATACTGTCAATAGAACTGTGAACATTGTCAGAGATGGGAAGACAGAGACACTGATCACCACACCAAGAGGCTGGAATCCAGAGGGACTGTGCTGTACCAGGTCAGGGGACATCCTAGTTAGTATGGGTACTACTGATGGTAGTCATCGTAAAATAGTCCGTTATCAGGGACAGAGAGTGACACAGGAAATAGATAAAGATGAACATGGTGATCCAATCTATCAAGGAGGAGCATATGCAGTATTTGTGGTGGAAAACAACAATGGAGACGTAGTGGCCTCTGATGTCAATGCTGACACAGTGGTGGTGGTGGTGGACAGGACAGGAAAAGTCAGATTCAGATACAACAATGAACCTCCAGGGGGAAAGAAATCATTTGGTCCTAGTCAAATAGTGACAGACTCCATTGGTCACATCATTGTGGGTGATGAATTCAATGACTGTCTAAACATCCTAGATCAGAATGGACAGTTCCTGAGATGTGTGGATAATTGTGAACTACATGTTCCTGGTGGACTGAGTGTGGACAGTGAGGGGAGGTTGTGGGTAGGGTTATGTGATTCAAGGGAAGTGAAAGTCATACAATACATGAAATAAACTTCAAATGTTTACTCTTGTGAAGTTGATTTTTTTCATGAAAATTAAGGGGGGCGAACTTCTACTGGGATTTCTTGTTATCCTTTGACGCTTTTGTTGATTCCTTTTGGGGTTTATTGTTGCTCAAAGAGTTTTGGGATTGCAGTTAATAGATTGTTTATATGTTCCATTTCAATAGCGTTCCTTTTGTTTTTAAGCTGGGATTTTATCAAGTATCTGTGTATAAATCGTATTCCAATATTCATAAAATAGGCGGATGAGACTGCGGCTGAAATTTAGGTGTGCTTTCTCCCAGTTTAGGAGAAATATAGTATTACTGTCTGGAATTTGTGAAATGATTTTGGTACTTAAAGTTTTTGGTATGAGGTCCTGTTTTGGCATTTATTCAGGTATGCGGCATGATGTTTTGTTCTTTGGAGTTTGATATGGAGTTTTCTGAGTGTCCTAAAAATGGGTACATTTTCTTCTGATATTTTTGGTTTCTCGGAAGGTCCGCCTGAATCAGATGTTGCAACAGAGGGTTCTTTCCCTGTTGTTTCTTGTTGAGATTTGTTTGTTGTTTCTGGATATTCTATATTCGTTTTGGATTGTGATGAGTTGGGGAATCTTTTTTGGGGGTTACTAATGTCTGCCTTGAGTGTTTCATTCACTTTCTCGTTAAAGGATTCTTGGAACTTTGGAATGGAGTTGGTGGCCATAATGTATAGCGCTGATCGGAATGGTGGATACCTAATGGTATGCAGGGGTCCCAGTACCAATGTAGAATACAAAACAAAGAAAAACTGTAGACCAACACCTTGAGGTTAAAATTGCGGAAGATTCTCACGTGTAACTATTTCCTATTTTTTCAACTATTTTTCTGGCTGTCCTCATCCTCTCCCTCACTTCTAAAAAAATGTCACATGTCTGTCTACCAATTGATCTTTCAGTTGGAAACTTACCAGATTGTTGAAATAGAAACGTTAAATAAAATACTTTCTTTTAAAAAGTTTTTATTACACTCAGTAGCGGATCAAACAGGGGGATGTGTCAGGCGCACCACCTGGGATTCTCTTAAGTTATAAATATTAATCAGAAACAGGCCCGTAGCAACGGTTTCAAAAGTGGGGACAACCTCCAAAAATAATGTGACAATCAAAAAAAAAAATCTCCTAAGCCTGGAATTTGCCAGTGCTCAGCCTTACAACAACTAAAATGGTGGTGGTGGTGGGGGGGGGGGGGCAGTATCTACTTGAAAATTTACTATAGCAAAACACTATATACAGAAAAAGTGCCCCCGATCCCGCGTTTTACGGACCTGAGAAAATGACCTTGGACTCCCCTCTCCTTCGCGGTAGGAAACATGAACCTCTCTTAAGTTGACCAGTAAGCCACCTCTCCCCTCGAAACCAAAAAAAAAAAAAAAAAAAAATTCGCGTTTGATCAGTTTTGTATATTTCTTAAATACTTTTGACGACACAGGATTAGAAGTTGAAATTTTATATGTAGGATGCCTTGTGTTTGTGCTGCGCTTAAAAATTCTAGAAGAGTGGAGTTGCAAAATGACCTCATGTTGGTATATTTTCAAGATAAATACTAAGTGTGTGTCATAAAGAGCTTACCATGATTTTCGGCCCTTGTTCGACCACTTCTTTTTCGCAGAAGGCTCGGTTTTTGTCTTTAATGATTGCCTATTTGTTGTTTCACGTTGTCTGTTGTTTTACGAAGTTGATAAAGACCGTCTTGAGGTTCGTCAAAACTCTGAAAAGAGAGATAACTCTTCTTGGGATATAAATGTATGTTGAGGATTGTCATTTTTGACAAATTTTGCCTCGCAAGCTATGCTATGCTATGCTAAAATTGTTTGCATTCAACTTTTAAAATACATTTCTTTTGGAAAATTAACATTTTATATTAGTGAACAGAGCTAGGGTTTATGAACCTTATGTCAAATACAAATCAACATTTTACTGAAGAACAAAGGATACCAAAAATGGATGCCTGGATTGGTACATATTTTTGGACCTAACTGGGTTGTAAATGATGTGAATTTTATATTTCTAAATATCTAGAAATTGTAAACTTTCTATGATGTTCAAAATTCTATCTTTCTGTAACCAACCATCCATATTAATCTATACACCTTTTTGTCAATTTAAATCACATTATTGTGAAACTTTTGAACGAAAAATTTATGAAAAATTGGGGTTAAACATTCATTTTACTTTTATAAACATGCCGTAAGTTTTTTTTTCAAAAATCCTCCGAAATGTTGATTGTATAATATGCAAGAAAGGCAGACGACTTGTCATTTTGCAGTCGTTGAATAAACTCGGGCTAACTAAAAGTGTCTCCCTTCCATATCATATATATGTTGCCTTCCAATACTGTTTTTACATTCCATTGTACTGTGTATGGAATAGAATTGTTTTTTAAAATTGTGTGAGATCTGGTTATGTTTTACAGGATTAACAGTTTTACAGGATTAACAGTTTTACAGGGTTACCAATTTTCAAACACACTTTAACAATTTAGAGCACGAATTAGAATTTAATACAGAGAAATATAATCATGTACATGTAAGTCTAAGGAAGGAAATTGTTATGTGATCTAAAAGTTATATAAAACAATTCTACAGTTGTCTCAGCGATGATAAACTTGAAACACAGCCAATAATGAGAGAATATAGACATACCTGAAACAATGGAGATATACCGGGTATATCTCTTATATCCAGAGATACATAAACGCACAGGACATCATACAAATAGGTCCAATTCACTGGCATTAGGGGACATATTGGAAATCACTCACGATATATCAAAATATTTTAACTAGAAGACCAAAAGGACCGTGTCCTTTGAGAGGACAAAGAGCAGGTAGTTTAGAAAGAGCTAACTAAGATGAAAGCATGTATCATGCAGAATTATACACAGATACATTCGTTGCTTGTTAGAAAACGGTTTATTCTTCTGTACCACTTGTGATTTTATAAGAAATCTAGTCGTTAAAGTCTGGATTACTAATTTCCAAAACCTTATAACTGTTCCTGTTTAGCAGTCAAAGTTTAACATACTTATTTGAATGATGCTTAAATTAATATTACCATTATTATAATTTGCAAATTTTGAACATTTTCATAACCTGCTATAAAGGAAATAGAATTTCTCAACTTTGCAATTGTTTCTGTTGATCAGTGCGAGTTTAACATGCTTTCTGATGTCTTAATCATAATATTTCAAAGACAAAAATGTCGGAACGTTGATTGACAAAGATGGTGAGTAACATGCAAGGAAGAATAAAGACGAATAGGAATCACCGTAAATTTAAACTTCAGGTGAAAGGATAAACACGAGATATGTACTTCTGTTTATTAACAATCATTTGAAAGTGACGTTACAATGGACAGTGGTGTAATTTTATATAAACTGTAGGTTTTTTAACAATTTGAAATGCTATCTACTATTTTTATTTAAGAATTGTTAATGCTACACAATATAGACAAATTTTATTGAAGAATATCTGTATCTAATTTTGATATTTATGAAGGCATTTTGATGCCGAAATCTACAGATGACTGTAAATTGACTGTTACTGCTGATTGTGTCTAAGTTGTGTGTGTGTGTGTGTGGGGGGGGGGGGGGGGTCATTTAAAAAGGATATCAACAGTCTCGTTTGAAGTCATCTTTTCACAGGTTTTTCGGTCGATACAATGACCTTGTCAGCACATACAATCAGTCATTGAGTCAAATGCTGACTGACGTTTTTCATACTGATTGTTAGGCCATTATTTAAACACTTAACTGTCTACGGATATTTCCGGTTTTTGTTTTCCGATCATGACAAGGAACACACGGCGGGTGTGATCGGTCGGCAGGGGTTGCACACTCCTCCATGGCACCTGATCCCACCTCTAAATTTGGAGGTCCGTGTTTGCTCTGCTCCAAATTCGTATCGTTTCATTGGACTTTCGAGATTGAATACTGTTCGTTATTTTCATATTTCATTGTAATGCAAGAATCTGTATAAAGTGCAGATTTATTCTTTTAGATTAAAGATCTTGCCAATACTAATATACATTATAGATCTTGCCAATACTAATATACATAACTGTACTTAAGATTAGAGCTACCAGAAATCTTAAATAACCCGATCCGCCATCAGACCAATGTAGATTACTGTAGCGTGCATAACTTGCTTGAATGGTTGAAATATCTCTGGGAACAATTTCTGTGCAAGAACTATTATGAATTTACCTGTTGTAAAAGCTTTAACTTGTTCATTCATTCAGAAAATATAGGTCACGCATAACAAAAACAGGTCTGCTTATAAATTGGAACAATTAATACCCATGGAAATTCCAATGATTGTTGGAAGACCTGTTCTCCAAAAGCTACATAAATATTGTCAGAAACTCAAGCATCTTTTTAATATCAGCTTCAGAGTAGTTTTGCGTAGAATGTTTTTTAACAAAATAAGTTTGCTCATGACAAATGACAAGGTATGTAGTCGCCTGCATGGCGCAGTGGTTAGAGCGTCCGCTCTAGAGTCGCGGAGTAAGGAGCTGATCCTTACATTGCCGGCTCGAATCCACTGCAGGATGTGGAGACCGGTCCTTTGCGTGTCGCAGTAGGTGCAATGGCCCTAAGTGCCGAGTATAGGTATAGACTTCCAGCCCTCCACCGGCATGTGGTGGCGTCTCCACATGAGTGAAAAATTTTCGAGAAGGACGTTAAACAACAAACAAACAAACAAACAAACAAGGTATGTAAATTTACGATTACCATGTGAATTTACGGTAGAATTCTATAATTTCTCTGGAAAGGTATGAGTGTCTTAGTGATGAAATCTTTAAATGAAGGGCATATAACTGGAGAACTGTCACTGTTAAATTTGGATAATTACTTGTATTTTTTGTTTGATAAATAATGGAAAATTATGCTCCTTTTTAATCTTGAATGTGGATGTAGACAAGGAGACCCCCTAGCACCATATGTATTGATCATAACAGTAGAGTTACT